GTACAGGCTTTTATCCATCAGCCATCTGTACGTCGTTCATCTCCACGCCTTTCGCTGCCGATATCCAAAGGACATTATTACACCTAGGCGAATGGTGAGGCAGGTCACAAGTTAGCGCGCATGGCACAGTTTCGTATCTACATAGAGATAAACACTAGAACAGAAAAGAACACAGCCATTCCTCCACCGACTTTGCGCGAGAGGGGGGGGGGGTTCCGGGGAGCCATAGCCGTAAGTATCACGGCAATGGCTCCAATTTGCAAAAAGATCTCGAGAGAACGAAGAGCGAGGAAGAGAAAGATCCCCATGGGAAATGGGGTGTGGAGCAAAGAAAAAGAAAAAAAAAAGAAAGCTAACCGTATCAAAACCTGTCCCAAACTACCTGTGCTCTTGCCTTCGATAAATTCCTCCGTGTTGGACAATTGGATATTCATATAGGAATCGACGCTGACGAGCTGGCCCTTGTATTCTGTATGTCCCCATTTCAGGCGCACGAGGACATCTTCGTTGACGCTGTACCAGAACGAAAAAAAATTAAGAACAGGAACACAGCGTTAGCTGAAATAAAGAAGAAAATAAAAGAAAAAGCAAAAGAAGCCCCTTTCGGGAACATTGGGATAGAAGCAAGTAGTAACGGGGAAAGGGCCCGAGTGGTTCTGGTTGGGAAGGGACGTCGTGGGGAGGCATGTCATTAGTGAGATACGTACAGAGATTGCAGCATTAGCCGCGGGGTTTAAAGGTATGACTATGGATATGAAAATATGTTAGACTTTAACATCCATCGCATAGCGGGGGTTATCAAAAATGGGAGGAAGGCGTTGAAATAGAAAGTAATGCCAGCCCTGGCTTTGATTTGGTACGTTGGCACCTACTGTCATGGTAAATTAGGATGTGTTATATTTATCAGGCAGATATGAGGAAGGGTCCTGTGGAAGAGGACAACGACCCTAAAAAGATATAAAAAGGGAGTAGGCGGTGGGGTTTGTACAGTTCGTGAGCGCGAGGATGAAAGCTCTCTGGAGTCTGAAGGATTTCATGTGTTGCGAGTGATCTGCCGAATTAGGCGGTGAGAAAGTCACCCAATCAGGGTCGAGTCGCGATTTTCATCCAAAATGTCAAACATTCAAAGACAGCTAAAGCTTCTAGTTCTTCTAGTCATTGAGGAACTTGATCTAAATCAAATTTCAATGAACACAAGGCCCCGAACGAGCCTTGTCTTTCAAATTAGAAAATGCAAATACTCATGATCAATTTGTAACGCGAATGGCTCCGAGAGGGACCTCGAAATCGTCATGCAGGGGTGATTCCTGTGGGAAGCTGTAAGGTAGGGCTTGACTATCTTGATGAAGAATGAGCAAGACATTATGCAAGATGATAAGAGTACATATTCCAAGGGAATATCGAGAACTAGATTGATAGAAAAGTAAATCTCACCCTTTCCTAATGAAGGGCCGCGTCTCGCTATATAGGAATTTTTCTGATAATCCTCCTCACCCTACTATCCTCCACCCCGCACATCAAATGAATCTTGTGATGTCTTCTTGATAACATGGTGGAGAATCAATCATCTGCTCTGCTGACTTTTATATAATTCTTTTGTTAAGTAAGTATTGTTCTTCTGCATCTACTCAATGATATCATTGGTGGCCAGCAGTGATTCTGGTAAAATATGAAAGTTTAGGGTGTCTCTGCAGTATTGTTTGATGTTGTATATCATGCAAGAGTGAGGATGAAACTCACTACTTCTCTAGGTCCCCTGAACAGATTTGACAGACATCCCAGCAATATCTCAAACTTCTATCAGAGCCTCAACCACCCCGATCACAAAAAGTAAAAGCGGGCAATTGAGGATGTCACCTCCCTGCGTTTGCGCAGTTAGTGCTCCGTACACATCCTAGGACTTGGTGTGTGCGCTAGGCTACTGTGTGTTAACTACGGAGTGAGTTTGTCTTGGTCAATTGGTTAGCCAATGTTGGGGCTTTGGATTGGTTCGTGTATCCACAGCGCTGGTTGCGATCAAGCGCTTTTGCCCCAGTGGCCTAGCCACACCACTTTCTCAGCCACTTTGTAGAAATAACCACAAGATCGATCTTGCTGGCGGGAGTTGATGCTGCCGGACAATCAAGCATGAAGGTAACAAAGCATACAAGGCGAGGAAGAATCTAGAGAAAAGCGACATTCCCAATTGCAATGCAGAAGAGTAGTTCCTATAGGATCATATGTGAGTATCTGGGGTCCGTTTTACCGGGATAACATACAAGCTAGGCTTGAGAACATCAGGAAGTCCAACAATGGGATAGTTTTAAATATATGAAATAGACTTGCTGTGCTGCAAGATTGGTAGGTATGACATATTCCGACATATTCCATAAGTATTTACAGCACAACTTATATGAACTAGCATACAGATTTGGCCTTACTCTTGACGTGTGTCGACGTTGATCATATTTTCCCCGTCCCCCCAGAGGGCCCATGGACCTTCTTTCCATGGCCAAATAGCTCCTTTCATCCTTAAGTCACTCATGCTCTGCGAATTTCCCAACTAACATCTTTGATACTATCCTCTTCACCTGCCTTCTCATCGTAAATCATACCACTCACCATCGCTAATATCGATACCTGAAAACACCGTCGACGATTCTGCTCCCTTTGCTTCCACTCTCCTTACCACATAATCAGACAACAGTTAAACGAAGACACCAACGAGAAAAGTAGCCCCGCAGATATCGCTGGAATATTTTTTCTTCTTCCA